GTGTAGTAGTGAAAATTCGCTTAACGAGGCTTGCAACTTGGTGAATGCTTCTTGGCATTTTTCGTCCCACGCCCAGATGTTCTCCTTAAGCTGTTGCCGCAGAGGGTGGACAATACTCGCGAAGTTCGGAATGAAACGTTCACTAAACCCTGCCATCCCGAGGAAGGAGCGCAGCTCCACTTTAATTGTGGGTTGACTTGCATCTTGTAGATTCTTTACATTCTTTGGGTCGGGTTTTATGCCCTGCTTGTTGAACACCAGCCCAACGAATAGCACCTCCTCTACATCAAAGACACACTTATCAGGATTCACGGTGATACCATTACTCGTTAAGGCTGACAGGACTTTTTGCAGCTGGGCTGCATCATGCTCTTCGACTGACCCGCCAATCAAGATATCATCCGCTATGTTCACCTGGCTTGGGATACCGGACAGCATCTTGTGCATCTCCAACTGGAGGATATCCTGGGCAGATTTGGTTCCATAATTGAGCCTTTTGTAGCGGTAGAGGCCATCAGGGCCATAGAAAGTGGTGATGTTACGCGACTGTTCGTCGAGGACAAACTGGTGGTATGCTTCTTTGAGGTCCAGTTTAGTGAAGCGTTCTGCTCCTTGAAATTTGTTTACAATATCAGCCATTGTTGGTATCTGCGTATACGGGCGTTGTATGGCTTTGTTGGCCATGCGCATATCGATGCAAAAACGAATGTCGTTGGAATCTGGTTTGGGAGCAATCACTGGAGGGCTGACCCAACTGCGTGGCTGGTTATCTGGAACTCGTTCTATGATGTCTTGGTCCAGGAGGTCTTGGATCTTGCTTTCTGCCCGTTCTGAGAGATTGACTGGTATCCGTCTCTGTTTCTGGACTACTGGTGTGACACTGTCATCGATCATCAGGGACACCTCATTCGTTTTGGCTTTGCCGATCTTACCCGTGAACACCTCGGGGTTATCCATAATCATGTCAGCTATCTTTTGGCGCCTAGTCATTGCCAAAACTTTCTTGCAGGGCTCAGACACTCGCTGTACTAGGAACTTCTCATTATACCGGATCAATTGGAGCTGTTTGGCTGACTGTTCGGAAAGTAGTGGATAGGCGGATGGTTCAGATGTCACATATATCTCAGTGTCGACTGTCCGATCCCCAGCTGTCAGCACTGCCTTGAATGAACCGATGACCGCCAGTGGTGTCTTGCCCCCATACGCAAATAGCTTGATGTTTGTCGGTGTCAACTTTACTTCCCCCCGAGTCTTTTCTTTAAAGCTGCGGAAGTGTGCTTTATCCCAGACGTCTTTTTGGGTCCCGGTATCCGGTTGCCACAGAACTTCTTGGTCGTTAGTGCGGACTCTCATCAGCGATGGCTTTTCCCTCATCCCAAGATTGTTAACTAATTCGATCTTGGCTGTGTCGTACTCATCAGTGTCGGAGTTGGTGTCGGTTCCGGTGTCAGTTTGGGGTTCTGCTTCGATGCGTTTGATTCCTGCTTCCTTTTGTTTCTTGAAGCACTTGCTGGCATAGTGTCCTTTCTTTTTACAGTAATTGCAGATTCTGGATATGGCTGGGCACTTCGAAGCAGGGAAATGGTTCTCGTGTCCACACCGATTGCACTGATCTGTGGTCCCCTTCTGTTGTAACGGTTGATTTCGTTTGGCACCCACCTTGTTGACTACCTGTCGGGAGTCCCTGTCTATATATTACTTTACTTCGGGCCACAGCATCTTCCTTCTTTCTAGCGATATCTAAGATTTGGTCCAGTGTTCTGTCCTTCTGTAAAAATTTTAGGCGAAGGGTGTCATCTTGCATATTGCTGATGATCAGGCTTTTGATCATTTTCTCCGCCGATCAATTTGTAAAATCGCACTTGCTCGCTGCTTTACGTAGCCTCATCGCATAACTTGTAATACTTTCTGACGATTCGATTTTCATTCGGAGTAATTCAAAGATAGCAAAGTCGTTGCACTGTTTTGGTGAAAAATGTATTTTCAATTGGTTTTAGATTGCTCATACACGGTCCAGTTTTCTTCCTCTGTGCCTTCTGGTCTGCTTGGTTCTGGCAGAGTGTCGTGCAGGTCTTCCACCTCGGTGCCTGCGTATATTAACAGCGCCATTTTGGCTATTTCTGGTGTTTTACTAGGGTCACATCCGTTATACTTGAGGTCTCTCTCAAATCGTTCGAACCACTTTTCCCATCGTTTCCCCAGGTCTAACCGATCTCCGTGAGGATCGAAGGGTAAAACTTTTAGGTTGGGTCCTTTTGTAGCCGTAGCAGCTGTAGAACTCGTCGCCATTGTTGTACTGAACTCTTGGATACTTTATTTACTTAAAACAACCCGTTTACAAACTATCTTTTACTCTATATCGAGTCCGTATTCAAAACCACTATTGTTGTCTTTTACCTTAAATCCCATACACCAAAAGGTGATTTGTCCCGATAACAGTCCGATCGTAATATCAACAAATGTAACACAACATATAACAGTCCATTCATTTCACATGTGTAGTATTTTTGGTGGTAACGGCCGCCCATAGCGGGGAACGCTCCAGAAAGCTCTGCCGAAAAGGACAGTTATCAGTATTGTCACACTCAGACATGCATTCGTCGCCGTCTAAGACAATAAATTCAGAGATATCAGCTGGTATTTGGCCAATGCACACATGCTGAGTAACTGTCTCAGTGCTAATTGTATTATCATTCAATATATTTGATGGGCTTTCCAAAAAGGTTTCCCTCTTCTGAGTTATAAATGGCTTGGATATTTCGATAAGAGGCAAGTTTCCAAGCGATTTCAGCGACAATGGCTCACAGTAAGGGGGAGAATTAAGATCGAGAGTAACTTCGCGAGACCTTAGCTTTACTGATTTTGTCGTTATTCATATTATGCTCCGTTAACTTCACTTTGTTAATTTCACATTTGTTGTCGAGTTTATTGTTGGTTCTATTACAACTTGCTGGTAGGACAATTAAACATGAATTATCAAGGGGGCTTTCAACGCTGACAGTTTCGGGAATAAACAAATTCCTAGGTCTGAATTTGCAGTTTCTATCGATTTTATAGTGTCTATGATGCAGTAATAAGTATTAATTTGTTCAGGTTGGTTTGACAGGCTTTGTTCGGCACTCAATACACCATTGAATTCTGAATTAATTTGCATTAGCGATTGTCTTAGAGATTCATTTATGACATCGCTTGATTTAAGTTTGTTTTCGAGACAGGTAATTAAACCTAATCCAAATACATTTTCAAACTATTCAAATGATGAAAGTTATTGTTGTTTTTTAAGCGTTTATTAGCGAGTGGGAAACTTCAATATGTCCGCCATCTATTCAAATGGGGGTAACCGCTGGAATGTTCTTGGCTTCAATTTTACTAAAAGAGATGCGCTATCTAGTGTATATAAGATATCTATGGAACCTGATGGAACTAACTGACTGTTTCCTGACAGTGTCATACACATTGTCTCATCTTAATTAAATTACGCTATTGTGTTTTGTTAGTCATCAATGGTTCATTGTGTGTTCTCATGTGACCATCACATGCAACACTTGCGCATAATTCTATAGTATATTATTTCGGTGTATAACATTAATCTATCATTTTAACCACGTCCACGGTCAAGGTTGCAAGCTGTTTTTCTGGTGAAATTCAAAGGTGAGTTCTCTTAAATTCTACTCAATTCAAAGGTAATATTCTATGCAAACACATGCAAGGGGAGTTCTTCTTAGTCTTATAGTACTAGATTAAGTTATTTCAATTATTAATAGAGCAACGTTCTACTTTTAATATATAAAACTATATCGAATAATTTATAAAACTGGGCGTAAACCATCTGTGATTGCCAGTGGTATTGATGTATTCGATCGTGAGACATACGAATCTATGCATAGTTCCCCAAACTAAGTTATTACGGTTTTGAAAATTGGCGTTTCAATATTGAAGCGCGTCATTTCAATTCTATTCTGTAATAGTGCATGACGAAGAGCTTTCGCTCGAAAGTTCCATCCCTATCAACTTGCATGTCAATCTCGTAATGGCGTTCTTCCCCCGTCGCTTCCCCTCGAAAATACGCTACGGTATATTTCTTTGCCGTTGTTTGTTTGGTTGTTTGCTCCGAGCCGTGGACGGTATTTTTGTTCTTAAGGTCCAGACACACCGGACGCGATCCGACAACGTAGTTTAGTTTTTGAAAGTTAATAAAACAGCCAATGAGATCAAATTTTGAAAGATATGTGGACCCAATGACTCAAAATGTTGTAGCACTTCTAAATATCTGGAAAATTTAAACTAGGATAAAAGTTATCGGTCAGTGAAAATCGAAAAATCGCGTCACGTTGTCGAATCGCGTCCGGTGCGTCTGGATCTTTAGGCCTAGGGCTTAGACCCAGTTATAAGACGGCGAACTTTCCATGCGCCGAAACTTAATATACAACGATTAAATACGACAGAAGAGCAGTGTCTAAATTGATTAAGTTCGGCAAATGTTGATTAGGTTCGACACGGCACAAAATATGCCAAGTCATGTCGTATTATGCGACACATGTTCGACATGGGTTTAGACTCCGTGTTTTGCATGCACCCGAACCTAATGCATAAATGTTTTAATGTACTTATCATATGATTATGAGATCAGTATTAGCAATTTAAGGCCTTTTTGGGATGTGAGTTGCACGGCAAGGCGAATTCATATAGTACGCGCCCAGGCGGGACAAACGTTAACAAGCGCTCTGTTTATATGGAATCGAGTTACTCGGCATTGGCATCATCTTAGTATGCTTTATAATATAAAATTATTTTTTTCCAGCGACGCTAATTAATCATAATCTGTCAAACACCAATGTCCAGTTGTGAGGAACGTACATTACACCGTTACACAATTAAACCATGCACATACTAATAAATGCGCAAGCAAGCCGATGTGTTTTCTCTCTTAGTCTTTCTAACCAGGAACTCTACGCGCATGATAAACATTCAGCGATCACAGAAAATTGCAATGGCAAAACATGGTCTCGTTGTTAATAATATAAGTTAATGTTATGCGAAAAATAGAACTGAACGCATGCATGTGACGTCATATCGTATGACAAAGTACTTTGAACTTTCAGGTCACGCCATCACTTTGCATATGGCTGTTTTACATAGAAGGTTTTACTGTTCACGTTGTTGATATTAAAATGTAGTTTATAACTCAAATTCCGATGGTTCGCAGATCAATATTCAATAATTCTAATAGGTTATGGGCCCAGGAACGGCAATTCGGATTTAAAGGAGTTTAATATGGAAGAAATATCGCGAAATCAACACATTTTGGGCTTGTGTATTTACGAAAAGTTGTATTAATGGCGGTCTCGAGAAATGACGAACATGCATCGATGTTACGTATCGAAAAGTTTAGCGGAGAGAACTTTCACCTTTGGAAATTTAAAATGCAAATGGTCCTTGAAGATAAGGATCTTTCGGGCATTGTTAAAGGCGATGAGGTAGAACCTACAGCCGAAGGAACTACTGAAGCTCAACGTCGGCAATTTCAAAGGCGGGAAAGAAAAGCGTTCGCTACGATTTGTTTATCTTTGGGAGATGAACAGTTGTCTTTAGTTCGTTCA